CCCTAAGTAGGTCCCTGAAGAGGCCAAAGTCAGCTCTCCTGAAGTCCAGGGTTGCAATCCTGTTACCTATTGTCCTGCTTCTTTCCTTCCTCAGGATCCTGAACTCCACCATCTCATGGTCACTGCAGCCAGGACTGCCCCTAGACCTCTGGTTGAGGTCTTCTCAACCAGACCTTCTTTGTTCGTTAGTACAAGGTCTAGCATTGCACCTCTCCTCGTTGGCTCCTCCACCACCTGGGTCAAGAAATTATCATCAATGCTCTGCAGGAACCTCCTTGACTGTTTGTGCCTAGCTGTGCTGTCTTCCCAGCAGATGTCAGGGTGGTTGAAGTCTCCCACGAGAACCAGGGCCTGTGAGCGTGAGGCTACTTCCAGTTGTCTGTAGAAGGCCTCATTGACGACTTCTTCCTGTTCAGGTGGCCTGAAGTAAACCCCCACCACCATGTCAGCCATGCCCTTTAATCCTTACCCATAGGCTCTCAACTTGCTCTTCCTCTACCCTTAGGCAGAGCTCCATACATTCTAGTTGCTCCCTCACATAAAGAGCAACTCCACCACCTCGCCTTCCTGGCCTGTCTTTCCTAAAAAGCACGTAGCCATCCATGACAGCATTCCAGTCATGTGAGCTATCCCACCATGTCTCTGTAACCGCAATGAGATCATGGCCCTGCGACCGCACACAGATCTCTAACTCTTCCTGCTTATTCCCTATACTGCATGCATTGGTGTACAGGCATTTCAGAGAGGCAATCAAGCATGCAGGTTTCCCAGAAGAGGTGCAAGAGGAGGGAGAGACATTTGTTGGAGGGAGAGACAGTATTGATCGATACGAGACAGCACAGTAGAAATACATTGAAGAGAAGGCTGGCAGACATTTCACAGGATCGTTCACAGTATTCAGCATGTATTTGGCTAATGTAATTAGAAACATTGCCCTCCAGCCTGCACAGCAAACATACCCAGCACTGTGAATGGCAGGAGTATAGCAGACAGCTGCACGTGTGCCACGACTGATTTGGTGAGGAAGCTGAGCTGCTTGGCCTTTCCACAATTTTTGAGTGAAAGAAATGATTTTAAATGTTCTTACATTAATCCTTTTC